TTATATTCCTGCTAACTGTGGTGACTGATGGTGGAGAGCTCTCTCATTGGGACTATTAAAACACTGGCATATAGGTAAAGTGCACACCACCTTTAGGTGCTCACTAACATGGCCAGCCTAAAATGATATTCCTTACGTATGTTTCAGTTGTCCTTCAATACTTGTTTACAATGCATGTCTAAGGCTGTCTTCATCACCTGAAAATGCTTATCTGTATTCCAGGGAACTAGGGTAAGGTTATCTTGGAAGATCAGAAATTAAATCTTGGGCATCTAGGGCAAGAGCAACACAATACATTAAAGAGAAGTAGGAAGCTTGTGATACTCTAGCAAGTACATCTACTTGTAGAGAAGCTTAAGTTATTATAAGGACAAAGTAGTTAAGGAGTAATAAAAATGAAACCATAAAAAATTAGCTATTATTTGTAGTTATAGGGCAAGTTAGAATTGGTGACATTTGGGGGCAGATCCAGTGGGCCAGCCACACTCCCACCTCCCCCCTTTCTGACTGTGCAGCAGGAGCAGCAGTCAGGGACTTCTAACTTCCTGAAGAGGGCAAGAATTTCCGCCTGCTTCCTCTGCCTGCTCAGAGGCATGTCCCCTCCCCTTCCATCTCCTTCTCCCTTGCCTACCATTGCTGCTGTCCTTGATGTCCAGGAGCAAGGAGAGCTCCTATCCTGCTCCAGCTGGACTGTGTGGAGGCTGGCTTGAGTGCAAGGTGGTAGCAGGGACAGGCAGTTTCCCCCTCTCCTACCACAAGGTGTTCTGCAGCAGCCTAGGAGCGGGCACAGGGAGGCGGAAACTGCCCGCTCACTCCTACTGTCCTGGGCTGAGCCCAACCCCTGTGCAGTCTGGCTAGAGCTCCATTTGCCCCTTAGAGAGTAGGGACAGTGGCAGCAGCAGGGGGGAAGGTGAAGGAAAGGACCTCTGAGTAAGAAGGGGGGGGGGAAATCCTTGCCTGTGTTTACAACTTTTGAACAGGGTGGAAGGGTGAAAAGAATTTAAAACAGCCCCTTGCATCATTCCAACCAATGTGAGCAGTTTATTGATTAATTGACAAAGCAGAATAGTGCAAGATTAGTGCTAAGAATAAGTGTAATCTTACAGGACAGGTCTTGACTGCTGCAAAGCAAAGCTGGCCAGGCTTACAGTCTTCACAGCAAGGGGTTCCTCTAGCTGGTCCTGCAGGCAGGCAAACAGTAGAATAGCAGGCATCATGTAGAAGTTCCCCCCAGCCTGTAATCTTAATATTTTAATAAATGATCCCTGATTGGTTTTATTTAGGTTTCTTTGTTTCACTGAAATTTCAAGAATCGGCTTAAACTAGATTTTTTTTATGGGCCAAGAAGGTGCCCATTAGTTAAAATTTGTATCTTTGAGAAAGTAATGGGGCAATAGGGGTGGGCTTCCTATCTCCTTTCTTCCATGGTAGAATGCTGTTCTAGCCCTGGCTAACAAGGCTGCCTTGTTCCTTCGGACTGTGTCCAGTTAGACAGGTGGATGGTTTTCTCTGTTTTGCTGACCAAGCCACAGCATCTGCAAATGCTCACATTTATACATCGTTCAAGGATAAGCTTCAGGCCTGCTGTCACCCCTCAGCCATAGGCACCTTGAAAATGGCCAAGTCTGGCATCAACATACCCTTGGCTCATATCAGAGAGGGCTGTGTATGGCCTACACCTGTTTTGGGGACCTAATGTCCCTGACGGCCCCTGTAGTGTTGTCTGCCCACCCCAGTTGGAGAAGTGGAGAGGAGACGGGAAGCAGTGTGTGCAGCCACCTCTATGGTGCTTGTTGCTGCTGCTGTAACCCCTTTTGCAAAATCTTGGTCTGCTTTTGATGTCACTGAATGTCTGATTTTGGTTTGCAGGTATATCTGTTGTATCGAAGCTAGACTTTGGGTGCACAACAGACTTAAGTTTTGTGTTCATGTGGAGTGATTTGTGTACATGCAAAGCTGTACATTGTTGCTTGGGCCTGTTTGAAAACCTGTTTCTCCATCCTAAAATATGAAGGTGCTTGCTTGTTTAAAATGTTTAGTAGTCACATTTTACCTAGGATGTTTTAACACTGCCATATACAGAAGAAGTTATTTTACAGTGTGCATTAGCCAGGTTGCTCTGAGGCTCATATTGACCAGCTGATGCATGTTAAAGCAAACATTGCTCTGTCTCCACCAGGATTTTAAGATGTGTTGGCTAACATTTTAAAAAGTACCTTTTATCCTACCGCTACTGAGAAGTAGCATTTCAGTGTCATAAAAATAACAGCTCCCATTGCAAAACAATCCCACTTTCTGAATGGAGATACTAAAATAATGACAGGCATTTCTGAAAGCTCATTTTCTAATACATCATTAATTAGGAGGTATATGCTCCAGGGAACTACCATAAATCTCTGGAATTTTAATTTTAAGACAAAATTTGGTGAAATGTCAAACATCCATCAGATCAATCACTCTAGAAATGTCCTTTAATAAAGCATGTTTTCTTTTTCCATCAAACTCTGGCTGTTTTCTTCTTTCTAAATATCTATATATTTGTTCATAGCTCTAGGTCCTAATTGGTTTCAGTTGCATATGGTTTGAACCCGGTTGGTGGCCATTCTGTGTTGGGAAATTTGCAGTCTGGTTTAGTTTTAACTGTGCTAGAGTTATAATTATGTTTTTAAAGCTGTTGTTACAGCAGGCTACAAAGGGCCCCTGTGATGCTGCTGCGACCACAGGGGAAGGAAGGAAAATAGTGGCCTAATGAACTGGTTCAGGAGAAGGTTTAGGAATAGTTGTGCTTTAGAGAATAATATTATTGGAAGAAGTTGCAGCTTTTCAGAAGGGCTAAGTACAGACAGTCAAAAACCCCAAGGCTGAATCTATTCAATCTTTGCAGGTTGGGCTAAACTGCACAGACTGAACCAATAAGCAAGTGAACAGGCAATGACTTTTGATTCCTGAAATGCAGCCACATGCCTACAGTGGCCCAGGCTAGAAGCTGAGGGGTGCTAAAGCATGCCTTCCTGCTCTGCTGGAGCAGACAGCTTGAGCCAAGGCTAACCTGCCTAATATTCTTTGGGTAAAAAGAATAATGAATTGTTACTCCCAGTCAAACCATTTGTGTTTAAAACTATACATTAACTACAAAGGTTTCAAACCATACATTTTGTGAACTTGTAAAACGGAGTATCTCATTGGCATCCATTAAATTATCACTTTTGTGATTTCTCTTCAGTCACATACGCAGTTGATACAGTGGGTATTTCCTCTATGTAGTTATGAACTTTCCCCATAAGAAGTTTATATCCAGCACATTTAGAAAATCTACAGATAAAATAGGGGGAAAAATCATATCTTGTTGATTTGTTTTAGGTTAATCTGCTGAATTAATAGATTCGGTTAAGACAAAGAAACCTTTATGGCATATAAAAAAAAGAGAGGTTTTTTTTTTTTTTTTAAAGAATAAAGAAAATTGCAGTGCCAGAAGAAGAAATGGTTATAAAAGTCCTAGTTTTTATGGCAACAGATATCCATATATTTCAGGAGTAAATGTACTTGTCCTGTCCTGTCCATCACAGAAGTCACTCAGTATCTGAAACCAAACTTATTTCTGTCTTGTTTTTTTTAACAGTCCAAAAACTTTGTTTGGTGTAAATCAACTTCTTCATCAACTTTATGCACTGTGTCCAGTTTATGTCAGCAGAGAATCTGGCCTTACATCTTCAACAAGAGCAGCTGCTGTGCAGAGATTTAACATAAATAGCTCATAAATCTTTGAGTGTCTTTGAAATTGTTAGATAGGCAGCCTCATTGG